GGGCTCTGCAGGAGGGGGGGTCTCTGCAGAAGCGTCCACTGCTGCTTCTCCACTATGAGAATTTTTTAATATATTTACAGGGATTTTTTGCCACATTTTGTGAAATATGTATATAAACAATTTTCATAAAAATATTTATAATATTTTTTAAAATTGAATTCTTATCTCAGTTACAATAAATGGGAAAAGTTTCTGTTTCAGAAATCCAGCTGGACATTAAAAATTTATTTAAAGTATTTTTTTGGGGACATCTAGTGGTGAAGTTTAGCAACTGTGGTCGTCGTCGACTTTTGTTGTTGTTGGGATTTTTTTTTATATTAATTGTTTTCTAAAATGCTCATTTCTTCGGCTTCTCTCCTGGTTTGCAGCGACCGCCCGAGGGTCAGCGTCTCCCAGCGTTACTTCTGTGTTTAATTAAGACGGTGAAGATGATGAATATCTGAGACGGACTGAGCCGCTCGGCCTCTGAGGTCCAATAGAACTGCAACTGTTTGACTGAATAATTCATCAGCAAACAGAAAGTCAGGAGCGACGTCCACTCCCCCCCCCGTCCCTCCCCTTCTCCCCCCCTCCCTGTTGGAGGCTGATGCTGTGATGGTTCTTCAGTTCTTCTCAGTGTCTTCTACAACTGCTCTACATGAACACACACACATGAACACACACGCACACACACAGTACGACATCATGATGGAGTGTCAGGTGTTGCCGGGTAATTTCTGCTTCACTGTGTGTGTGTGTGTGTGTGTGTGTGTGTGTGCACAGGAGGGGATGAACGAGTGGTTATGAATACTAAACAGTCGCCTAATGATGGCCCTGTGTGTCTGGGTGTGTGTGTGTGTGTGTGGTAATGATATCTATTTTCTTAGTGAACAGACCCACTGAGTATCCCTGCAGTGGGGGGGTGATGGTGGGGGGGTGATGGTGGGGGTGATGATCTAACTTCCTCACAGCTGAACTCCTCATTTTAACCATTAAAATCCATTCGTTAACGTTTTCAAATCTGACATAAAGGTCAGAGGTCAAAGTGTCATCGTTCAGTTTCTGTCGGGTTGAACTTTGTGGAAGTGACTTTAATATATCAGTGAGTGAGTCCACTGTTGATGACATCATCACTCATCATCACATCTGTGTGTCCAATCAGAGGCTGGAACTGGTACCGATTATTTAGTCTATCAGTTTAATCATGAAGATTTGACGACTTACACTGAAGGAGGATGAAGATGATGAAGATGATGAAGACGATGATGAAGATGAAGAGGAGGATGATGACGACAACAGCAACGATTATGAGGATGATGATGATGATGAAGAAGATGATGATGGCGATGAAGACGAAGAGGATGAAGGGATGGTGACGACAACTGCGATGATGATGATGAAGATGATGCTGCGTAAACACACAAACAGAATTTCACCAAACTTTGAACTTGATTTTTGAACAATTCTATCAAGTCACACATTTACGTCATCTATATCTATATTTTCTCTCCTGTGTCTTATCTCTGTAATACACACACACACACACACACACTGACACCACTGTCCCGGGGTCATGACCTCTGACACCTTCAGTGATGTCATATCTGTGGCCTGGGGCAGACTGACCCTCTGGAGACCTGGACACAGAGACCTTCTGTTGGACACATATGGGTATATGTGTGTCTCCCATGTCCTGGACAAGCATGTGTGTGTGTGTGTGTCAGTGATCCTCCATTAGTCATCATGTCTAATACAATTCTGATAATTTAATTTGGGATTTTTTAATCAGATTATGACACAGTGGCCGCTCCTGTGTACCAGTCTCACACACACACACACACACACCCTCCCTCCCCCTCGTGTACCTCACACTCAGGATGCCACCCTGCGCCTGGGCAACAGCAGCAGACTGTGAGGATGACCTTTGACCCCTCCCCCAGCAGAGGTCAGGTCGTCATGTTGACATCTGCCTTTTTAAAACAATGACAGTCTGTCCACACACACACACACGTTTAGGTGTGACGTACTGCACTGGAGTTACTCATTAGCGACACCAAGTGGAGGAAGAAGAAAACGCTCAACTCCTGTAAAACGCATTTAACCCACGGTTGGAAGTTTTTACAAAAAACTAAACAAAAAAACCTTAAATTTCAAAGTGACGGGAGCCTGAAATGTTTGTTTACTTTCTGAGTGTAAAAAAAAACAAAATAGAAAAGTCTGTTTTTACCAGTGTTCCGTCCGGACGGTAGAACGCGGCAGGAACCGAACTCAGCACAAAGAGACCTCTCTTTCTCTCTTTCTCTCTCTCTCTCTCTCTCTCTCATGGAGCCGCCGGTTTATTCACAAATGAATTAAAAAAAAAAAAAAATTTTAAAACTGTTTCTCCAGACACGAAGTCAAAACTAGCGGAACAACACACACGAACAGTGCGAACCAGGTGGCAGCAGGTGGCACCAGAGAGACTAATTACAGACACCAGGTGAGTCTGATTACGGTGATTACAACGACGACAACAACCAGGTTAACGGACCGGTTTTCGAATTTCCTACGTTTCCCTGAGTCCTTGAATGTCTCTGTGGGAACTTCAGTGACCGGGGCACAAACTCTGAGATTCACCGTGAAAAAAAAAGATTCTAAATATTTAATTAGACACACACACACACACACAACAAAGTTCCCAGTGGTGAAGAGAGGTTGAAGTAAATGAAGGAAGATGGAAAGAGAGAGAGAGAGAAGTTTTTTTTTTTACTAAAATGGTGTCAGTGTAAGAAGTATCAATCAAAGTGACACACAGAAGTTTTACAACTGAACACACACACACACACATAAATGCAAACACAGCCACACACTCCGTCTCTGTCTCCCTCTGTCATGCACCCATGCAGACATATAATCACTCCCACCACCTCCAAACAACACACACACACACACCCAGACCCACACACACACACGCGCGCACAGACAGGCGGTGTGAGTGTGAGTGATGGTCGCGGCTCGTGTCCATCCATTACAGCTCTGCGGCTGCAGACAGGTGAGCAGGCTGATACATGAGGAGGGCTTTATCTGCTCCCACCGACTCCACGGCACCGTCTCATTCAGTGGCTCGCTGCATTAACAGCCCCCCCCCTCGCCCTCCCCCTCCCC